AGGGTAATTCAGTAAACCAGTCTTTATCAAACATCTGTCTATAGGCTTAATTTCTGTTGTGCCTAAATGAATGAGAGCCCTTTTGATTACAGACAGTAGATATTAACAAAGCTAAGCTGATGTTAATTGAGAACAATGAGGTAAATAATACATGGAGAATTGTATGTTTCCTTATTCATTGTTATTGAAGGTAATTACTTGTTTGATGGGGAAAAACAAAAGAATTTATAATTGCAGATAATGAGCAAACCCAAATGATATTATAATGAAGCAAATGTAGTAATCCCTGTGGCGTAATAAGAGTCAGTGTCAGCCAGCCCATTGTAGCTGCTTGCAGCAGCTCTTTTCCTGCTGTGAATTAGACTTAACAGGAAAAAAGAATAAAACCACCACCCCCCGTTCCTAATTAGAGGACTGAGGACTTATTAAGAACAATTCAGGTCAACTCAACATTCCAATTATTAGTTTCACCACATTTTTATAAACAAATTGTCAACACACTTAACCGATATATTTTCAGTAATTTTTTTTTTTTTTTTTGGAGACACAGCAGATGAGAGGAAAAGATGCCAAGTAAATCTGGCCCCATTAGGCCACAAATGAACACTCAGAGTGAGGCACAGGCTATTTTTTTTCTTTTAAAATAATTTCACTTCACTGAAATTGCAGGCGCTTTAGCTCTCAGATATAAAAATCCAAACAGACTGAAGCAGCTAACATCAAAGGAGCAGGGGCACAGAGCCACCTGTGGCATTTCTGTCAAAGAGTGGCCTTTTCTTTAGCTTTGGCTAGTTATAGCTGCCTCACACACACACACACACACACACACACACACACACACACACACATCCTCAACATCCAAAAGACAAATACATGATACAAACATGCACAGAGATTTGAGTGAAGCAGAGTCGAAAATTATAGCATCATTTCCAGCACTGAACGTGTCAGGGAATACACACACACACACATACAAACAAGCCCATAGTTTCCATTTGGCATGTGCTTGATAAAATTGCAAATAAATAAAGTTGGGGGCACCAACTGGATAAATTGTCCCTGATCCATACTGGTTTGAAAATCCCAAATTAAACGTCTTATTATCTTTATATTATACATCAAACAAGCCATGCTGCTGCTGGAAATGCCTTTTTAAAGTCTTCTGTACAATAGTTGAAGGAAAGTAGTTTTACCACCACAGCTCAGATGGATTCGCCTCCAAATCAAAAGAGCCTTCAAATTCCAGTGTGTTTACGTATGATGTGAACTAGGTGTAGCGGCATGATTTAATTTTCCTTGACCATAATGGAAATTTGTATTTTTCAACCATCATGTCAATGATACAACTGTATACAACACAGAAGAGACAGACCACTACAAACTGTTATGACCAAATTCAGGTTTTATGTTTCATGTACTTCAGTTATACTGCATTAATACTACTGTAAGTCAGACTTGTTTAAATTGCACGTATGCAGGCGGCTGCATGATTGTGTGTCTGGTCCATGCAGTACATGTGTGCATGTATGTATATATACATATTACCTTGTAGTTGTGTGTGGATATGCATTAGGCAAGCCAAAACTTGTACTTGAACTTTCTGTATGGAATTCATCCAGATCTTCAACATGTTAAAAAAAAATATCCTCCCAATCCTCCGTTCCAAATCCTCACTCTCTCCTGTGTCCAAACAAGCTAAAGTAGGAATTCTGCAGAGTTAGTTATTTTGACAATAGAGGTAATCTATGCCATCAGCAGGCTGCTCCCTACCTGGATGTGGTGTGGTTATCTCTGCAGAAGCAGCAGCCACACAGTCAGTCAGGCCGGGGACTGCAGGCGGGAGTTTGGGATGCAATGAGGTGGGGCTATAACACTGGTCTCAAGGGGAAATAGGGAAATTGGAGGAAAAGGATGGGTAGGGGTAGTGAGTGTGGAGGGTGAAGGGGCGAGGTGCAGAACATTCTGGCACAGAAATGTCTGATATAGTAATTGAACATGTGTGATTGTCTGTTAAATATCCAGTTCCATAAAGTCAATCTTCTCTGCAGTCGCATCATCTGTGAAATATGAAACGACAGCTTCCGTGCAGTGAGTAATCACCACAGCCAGGAACGGGAGAACATCGCTGGTCAGAAAACAGCTAGAGTCCAGGTAGGTGTGGGCACTTTGGCACAGGTCCTGTTATTGAGATCAAGCTTGTGGAGCCATTGTTAGCTCATACATTTACTCATTTCCTCCTGATGTGATTAACTGTTGACAACCACGCACAAAAAAATGTCAAAAAGCCCGGTGAAAGACATGCTAAACTAGATCCCCTTGTTGTACCCG